CTTAAATCCTCTGGGGTGACTGTAGGCTAATTAATAATTAATGCCAGAGCCACGGTGTTTGAAATGCAGATGTGATGACTGGAGGCTTGGCAAAAGCTGTTCGGAGGAAGCCGATCTGGATGCTATAGGGAATAGGGCGCTCCCTTGCCGGCTGGCTCGGGAAAGCAGACCTGGGTGCAAAGCAGAGCCTATGGTTTAGATTATGTTCCCCTCAGCTGTTAATTACCTGAACCTACTTTGAAGTCCTTCTCTTTTTATCCTGTGCATGAAAAGAGATTGGTTCAGCCAAGGGACTTGAAGAAATGATCAAATGCTTAGGGGTGTGTGTGTGTGTGTGTGTGTGTGTGTGTGTCTGTGTGTGTAGGGGGAGCGAGCAATAGATGGATGGGGGGGGGAGAGAAGCCAGAGAAGAACTTCAGATACAGAAAAAGATAAGGAAGAATGAAGACGCACCATGCACACACGATTCACACATGAGAGGAGCATATGCTCCACATAACAAGCTCATGTGTAAAGTATGTGGCAGCATAGGAAGTTATCCTCCAAGTTATTGGAATGTAATGTATAAAATATCTTCCTTGAACACACACAAAAAATTGACCCTTTTAATATCAGCAAGTGCTGTAAATTGTTATACACCCACACCCACACACACACACCCATTGCAGTACAAAAATCCTTAATCAGGAGAACCATGTGTATAAAAGTGATAAATGAAACTTTCACACACATGTTTTTTTCAGTGAAAGGAAATTTTTGATTTGATATAATCCAATAATTGAAAATATGAAATGTGCTTTCTGATACACTGTTGTTGTTTTTTAGGAAAGCCACTCACTCACAATTTTTATGGGCTTTCTTCTCTTGTTTTTAATTCTCACCATAATAACTAGAAATGTATCATGCAATGAATTTTTGTTTGTTTCTTTTCTGCAAAGGCAGAAATTTTGACCCAGGGAAATTTGAATCAGTTGTGCTGATGCAAGTTTTCAAAACTTCGGTCTGGATCAAAAGAGCTGCACAATTCTGTTCCATGCACCAAAATGATTAGTGTTTGTGTTTCTCAGACAACACACACACTCAACGTGCCATGTGGCAAACCTTTTCTTAAAATGGGAAGAGATTAAAAAAATGGAAAGTTGCAATTTTCAAGGGGGAACATGTGGGGTTCAGGGCAAATCACACTATGTGCTCCCTGCAAACATTATCTTCATCTCCCCTTTGCCTAGGAATTTAAGGGTAGAAAGGGCCTGCTGTGGATCACAGAAAACCCATTTCCCCCTCTGACCCTGACAGCATGGAACGCTGGGCTTCATCCCTATTTTACCAAGTGGAAAGTTGGCAAACCAACTTTACTTTCATTTAGGGATGATTAAAAACGTCCTCCAAAAATTATCCATTTGTGAGCAGTGAAATGGGGGAGGGCGCTTTTTCCTGGATATTCCTGGGGAAAGTGAAATTATCCAACAGTTTTTTAAAACAACAACAACAACACCCAAACCCTCTTCTAGGACATTTTAGCTCATTTAAAATCCAATCATATGTATGCTTGCTCTGAAATATGCCTCTCTGAATTCAATAGGCAGCAGTGTATAGGGTGTCAATTTGAGTGTTGCATGAAATTTTACAGTGGGCTCATCCTGGCAGGTGAAGGAAACAAATTGGCTAAGAAAAGAGGGTAATATCAGCATAATATTAAACTGTACTAAAAATGGATCCACAATTCATGGTTGGTAAATCTGGGAAAGCCATTTTGCCAAATATTGTCTGGGTCAGGACAAAAAAATATTCCAGTAGTTCATAAGGAGCTTGGGAATAAAATCATGTCTGAGAAATTTTGACTTGGTCCTACTTTCATTAACAGCACAATCTCAGAGCTGTTAACTAGGAAGTGAGTTCCATTTTGCCAATGTGGCTTACTTCCTAATCATGTCAAACCAGAAGTAAGTCCTGTTGGGTTCAATGAAGTTTATCCCAGGTAAGTAGAGTTAGGATTGCAGCCTAAAACATGAGATACATCTCCGTTGGGGGTGTGCTTAATGACTCCAGAGACGTTAGCAGAATTACCACCTGAAAACACTTCCTAAAAAACTAGCAATCCGGAGAGGTGTGATAATGAAGTGGAAGAGAAAGACAAAATATATAAAGGTTTTCTGCATAGATGCTTAATGTAAATATACAATTGCCAGTGTGAAATGGCAGAGAGTTTAATGGAAGATGAACAAAAAGAAAAATAGAAAAGCTTTAAAAAAAGAAAAAATAACACAGATTTGCCAGTAGGAAGTAGATGTGATCTTCAGCAATCCCCAAATGGAAAAGAGACAAGAATATTCCTTTTGAATGTTTCTCAAACATTTACCTGGCCCTGATGGTGTGTTTGCCTGAGATGCATCTCTCCAAACACACAAATGCACAAACACCAATAGAGTATTCTGCACTGCATTTCTCTAGCGTATTCTGAACAGACTTGACTGATCTCATCTCCAACACTGACTTTGCATCTTTCAGATAAGATGTTTTTCATCAAAGGTAGTCCTCTAGTAATACTACATCCACACTCAATACATGTGGGACCTGCGACAAAATGTTGCCGCGTGGAACTCACCTGTTCAGGATTTCAGCCAACCAGTCAGGCCCACCCTTTTCCAGGGCCTACCATTGCACTCCGTTCTCCCTCCCTCAGTTTCCATTTCCTTCCTCTAATAGTCAGCAACAATTCTATGTCCACTGAGCATGCTCAGTCCTCAACTGACATGTTTCTATCTACATACATCCTTTAGGGGAATTCTAGTTCTTATGGAGTGAGCTCACAAAATGCATTGGGTCTATAAAAATATGAAGGGGTAGCTAGCAATCATAAATTAAGCACTACTAGGGAAAGCACTTTTTAGTACCCTTTGCTGAATTACATGCATTCCTTGAATTCAATCAATCAAATCCATTATTTTACTGGAAAACTAGGTAAAAGTAGAGATGAAACACGTAAGATGATCTCCCAAGGTGCACCCAGTTCATCATGTGGTTTCCCACAGTGGCTAATCAGATGCTCTCAGCAAGCCTACAAACAGGGCAATAAATTGATAAGTCTTCCTCCCTTGTTGGTGATGGATAGATAATTTGTGTGCATGGTTGTAGTTGTTTTAGATTAGGAAAGGGGAACCTGTTGCCCTCCAGATGTTTTTGGACTCCAGTGCTCATCAGCTCCAGCCAGCATGGCCTGTTATTCCAAGGGTTATTTAAGCAGCAGGCAGGTGTCTCTCCCACAAGACCATTTAGGGATCCTTGCATTAACTTGGACAGGCAGAAATAGGACAGTGAATTCCCCAAAATGACTAAGGGGGCAGTAAGCCCACTCTGTCAAGGGCATTTGTTATAATAGGTCCACACATACCCCACATACACTGCAGCTGTCCATGGGGATCCCACTTATTTCTGCACATGCAAGTTGTGTGTGTGTGTGTGTGTGTGTGTGTGAGAGAGAGAGAGAGAGAGAGAGAGAGAGAGAGAGAGAGAGATCAGTCCTGCAGCTGACTTGCAATTTGTCCTAGCTGTGACTTATGGGAGTTGCAGTCCACTACCAGAGGGCACTAGGTTGGTGAAAGCTGTACTATATAATAATGTTGCATCAACCTTGGCCATTTGGAAGGGGGTGCAGGAAGGCAAAGACTGCAAGGGCCTCTGCCACCACTGTAATATGCCCTGATGAAGACACAATCATTAAAACAAAACAAACAAAACATTAAAACAAAACAAGTTAAGAAACTACCTCCAAATGGAAAGCACCCCCCCAAAAAAAAAACTTCTCAAAACATTGCACACACACTTGTAATCACTCCCAAATTCAGGCCACTTTCTCCCCCACTCCATCTGAATTGAGTGCAAGAGCAAACATTTGGCTGAGTATTGTCCGGCATCACTAGCTTACTTGAGCTAGCTGGGACTCAGATGTGGAGTGTGCTCCATTAGCCCTTGTGCATGGCTAGCAGTGTGGAATATGTGGACTGGGTGGGCCTGGCATAAATTAGGGTGGCTATGTCTTCTGTTTTCAGAGAGTGGTCTTCTTTTTTGAGACCTCCTAGTCTTGAAATGTTTTTACAGATCTAGACTCTTTCAAAGACAAAAAGTCTTAGGAAGAGGCAGTAGGAATCTTGGAGCTGCCCATTACAGATCAGGGGCAGAACATCTGCTTGTCGTGCAGAATGCCCCAGGTTCAATCCCCATCATGTCCAAGTAGGGATAGAAATGACCCTTGCCTGAAACCCTTACGAACTACTGCCATTAAGATAAATGGCCTTAAATGTATTGCCTTTATCTCTGTTGCATTCTAAACATACTTCAAATATGTTTATACTTACAATGCTCATGGCAGTACTCCTCTACAAGCACACAGAAAATGCTCCATAACTCACAAGCCGACCATCCCAGTTCTCTTTCACCACTACTGTTTATTAAGAATATTAGAAGAGCCTGCTGGATCAGACCAATAGCCCATCTACACCAGTAACATGTTCTCACAGTAGCTGACCAGTTGCTTCTGAGAAACCAGCAAGCAGGAGGTGAACACAAGAACACTCTCCCCTCCTGAATACCAGCAACTGGTATTCAAAAGCATTGCCGCCTCCAGCTTATTGACTGAAGAATATATGAAGAGCTTAGACACATCAGATCGAAGTCCCATCTCCTCTAACATCCTGAGTCCTACAGTAGTGAGTCAACAGCTTTAGGAACATTGTACTGGAACATCATAGGGTGCTTGCAAAATGGTAGCCAGGCTACCAACACAGTTGCTACCACTGCCACTAAACCCTGCCAAGTGGGGCAAGGGGAGCTGTGCTGCTGCTTACAGTGAGCCCCACTCCATAAGAAACAGTTCAGAAGTTTCACCTTCCGCTGGAGGAGTGTGATTCCTCTTACCTTCAGATAATCATAGAATTGAAAGTTGGAAGGGAACCTGAGAGCCCTCTAGTTCTAGTCCAACCACCTACAGTGAATGAAACTTTTGCCCAATACGGGGCTCAAACCCACAACCCTGAGATTAAGAGTCTCATGCCCTACCAACTGAGCTAACTAGGGAGTGGCTTTTCCAGTGGCTTTTCCAGTTTCTCAGCCCACAAATAGGGTTGAGAATTTCAAGAGGCCTCTTGCACATAATTCACATGTTAAACCATCAGTGATTTAATCTTATTTGAAATAACATGATGTTTGATTGCTTCATGCCGTGGCTGCAAGCTGTCTTGAAGACCCAGTGGTTGGAAGGTGGGATATATACTTTTAAATGAACAAATACATATTAATTGTAAAGCATCTTTTGCTCCCTGCAGCACTGGTGCTGAAAACGAAGTGAACATGGAATTAAACCTCCCCACTTTAAGATAAAATATTGCCTCATCCAGAAGCCTTCTACAAATAGTAATGGAAGGGTCCAGGCCTTCACTGCTCCCCCTCTAATTCTAACTCTGTATCACAGGGATAAATAGAGTGGTTGTTTGCTTCCTGGCTGTATTGGTTCTCCAGCAGATATGCTATTAATTAGGAGTCCTTAGACAGACTCCTCAATGGACAGGTTCTCCAGAAATTGGGAGTCAAGCACCAGGCTTTACATTTAGAAGATTACATGGATTTTTTGGCATCTGCAGCTGCTGAGAAAGATCCTCAGCCTGAGACTAGGGATGGGGCAGAAATTCTATCCAGTTCACATTTAAAGGTGAACCTAATGAACCTGCACTTTCTAACACAAATCAGAGCGCAACTATTCTTTGAAATTGGTACTACTCTGAATTATGCAGTGTATTTCTCCAGCCAAATAATGTACTCCAAAATGCACATGCTACAGAAATGGGTGCATAAAAATGCATTTATTGATGTAAATATCATACAAAAGTGTCTTGTATCAGGGAAAACTGCTTTGCAAAAATATGTGTTTTAGGGAAAATTGCATGCAAATATTAAAAATACACATGAAAATGCTAGTGAACTTTTATGAAGATTTCTTTAAATAATAATTAAAAAAACCATATGGGGGAAAGGGGAGAACAAAATTTAAGACTGAACAAAATGCAAAATGGAGTGAAACTGAGAATGTCAGATTCACTCATACCTGAGACCTTGGAGAGCAACAGCTGCTTGTCAGAGAGATCAGCAATACTTGACTAGATGTCCTGACTAAGGCTGCTTTATATGAACCTTTCCCTGCTCATAATACTCTCCTTCTGAAAGAAGAATTCCCCCTTACAGCCTAACCTAACCAGGGCTGGCCCAAAATATTTTGCTGCCTGACCTGAAGGACAAGATGGGGGGATTCCTCTCCATTTGGTCTGACAGTTGAAACTTACTTCCACATTGGCAGTGGGATAGCATCTCCCTCACACCTGAGGCAGGAAAGTATCTTTGTTGGGAGTGGGAGGCAAGGGCCATGTAGCATACACAATGCTTTCACCCAAGAAAAGAGAATGCTCAAAGAGGAACAGCCAAGAGACTGCTGCCTCTCTCCCTTCCTCCAATATCTTCTACCTGAGATTATTGCCTCACTTTGGATAATGTTAAAACCAGCCCTCTCTTACTGTCAGGAAGTTCTTCCTAATGTTTGGGTGGAATCTTCTTTCTTGCAGTTTGGATCCATTGTTCCGTGTCCGCTTCTCTGGAGCAGCAGAAAACAACCTTTCTCCCTCCTCTATACCCCTATACCCATCAGGTTTGTGGAGGAGCAGAAAGTGGGATTGTTGCTTACTGCATTTTGGAATTCATAATGCCAGATAACATACTACTTTTTGGAGGCAATAATCTCCCTTCCCATCTCCATTTATTTAGTCAAGTAAGTAAAACAGAGAAGAAAGAGTTCCAAATCAATAACAGCTCCCAGGTTTCTTCTGTTTGGTTTCTCCATCAAGGGTTAAAAAACCTGGACAAAGCCAATCAGACTGATTTTTTCCCCCCATGAAGTCTACCCTGGTGGGGAAAGGGGTGGGGGCTGGAACTGAGCTGTAGCAAAAAGCTTTTTTCTCTTTTTTACGCCTGGAGCAAATTCTGCATGGCTGAGTTTATAACCCCCTAAAATAGGGTTAATGATGGACAAGCGGTCACAGGCTTAACTGTAGATTGGCAAGACGCCAACTCACACTATAGGCTACCAATGACAACCCCCAGCCAGGTCTAAATTGGATCTGCCCTTGAGCACACAAGAAAAAAGAAAGAAGAGGGAAATATATAGGTGCATCCAACGCTGGAACCAGCTTATATGGTTTTATTTTATATATTTATTACATTCTTGTTCAGCCCTTCCTCCAGGGAGCTCCATACAATACACACACACATACCCCATTTTATCCTCAAAACAACTCTATGAGGAAGGTTAGGTCGCAAGAGACTGATCAGTCCATGGTCATCCAATGAGCTTCATAGGTGAGTGGGGGTCTTCTCAGTTATAGCGGGGCACTCCACCAACTACACCACTCCAGTCCCCATTGTTTACAAATCTCAGCCTTCTAGAATGGCAGAGTTTTGGGATTATCCTTCTGCAACCTACAGCCTGAGCCTATGTCTGCTTACTTGAAACAAAGTCCCATGCAAGTTCAACCCAAATTAGTATGTATTGTACTTTTAGCCTCAATAAGGACTTGCATTCCACACTACTAGACTCATGGACCACTCGGCGTCACTGCATGTAGAAGTCCCAGGTTCATTCTCTGGCAACTTCAAGCAGGGCTGGGAAAGGCACCTTTCTGAAATCTGAGAGGGCCGCTGCAAGCATTGTGGATCATACTGAGTGAGAAGGACCTACTGTCTGGCACAGTATAAGGCAAGCTCCCTGTGTCCCTAAGCTCTATTTTTCTAAGCAGAAGGGTTTTCTGCAAAACAATGCTCACTTACAGGAAAGCGAGAATCTCCACATGAGGGCAGAAGGGCTTGAACTGCAACCCTATACATGTTTACCCAGAAGTAAGTCTTCTTATGTACAGTGAAGTTTATCCCACAAAAGGGTGCATAGGATTGCATCCTAAAGGCTAAGTAAATATGGCCAGAATCAGGCTGCAATCCCAAATTTAGATTGCAATGCTCTGAATGCACACCTGGGAGCAAACCCCACTGAAACGCTATGTTCCGAGTAAACATGCACATGGCTGGTTCTGTGACAACGCGATCCTGTGAATGTCTACTCAGAAGCAGGGATGGAGAAGAAAAAATTGGCCTTGCATTTTAATGGGAAATTGCTTAATTTGCACTTCATGAACAAATGCATGAACCAAAACACAGCTACCCATTGAAATTCACACTAGCTCTGTGAGGGGAATTGCGGGGAGGGCAGTTCGTATCAGGTCTCAGCCCCCTTAACAAATACAGCTCCCAGAATTCTTTGGGGAAAGCCACGGCTGTTCAAAGCAATGTCATAGAACTTTAAATGTAAGGTGTGAATGTGGTTTCAGAGCATTACAAAACGTGGCAGGTGGCGGGGGACTTTGCCCAATTTCAGTACTGTTGGCTATTTTATTTTATTTTAAATACGTTGCAAGCTGCCTAAAGAACTTTGGTCAGTTAGCAGAATAGAAATGTTCCAGTTTGACAAACAAGGATAAATAAAGTGCTGGATCAGCCCCATTTAGTGCAGCATCCTATCTCCCACACACTCAGCAACCAGATGCCTATGAGAAACCCACAAGTGGGAGCATGAGTCCCCCACCATTGTTCCCTTGTGACTGTATTCAGGGACCATCTTGGAGATAGTACACTTCCAGCATAGAATCATAGAATCATAGAATCATAGAGTTGGAAGAGACCACAAGGGCCATCGAGTCCAACCCCCTGCCAAGCAGGAAACACCATCAGAGCACTCCAGACATATGGTTGTCAAGCCTCTGCTTAAAGACCTCCAAAGAAGGAGACTCCACCACACTCCTTGGCAGCAAATTCCACTGTCGAACAGCTCTTACTGTCAGGAAGTTCTTCCTAATGTTTAGGTGGAATCTTCTTTCTTGTAGTTTGGATCCATTGCTCCGTGTCCGCTTCTCTGGAGCAGCAGAAACAACCTTTCTCCCTCCTCTATGTGACATCCTTTTATATATTTGAACATGGCTATCATATCACCCCTTAACCTCCTCTTCTCCAGGCTAAACATGCCCAGCTCCCTTAGCCGTTCCTCATAAGGCATCGTTTCCAGGCCTTTGACCATTTTGGTTGCCCTCCTCTGGACACGTTCCAGATTTGTCTTCATGGGTAGATTTGTCCTCTGTGCATTTTATTTTATTACAGTTCTGTCCCACCTTTCCTCCCAGGGAGTGCAAGGTTGCCTCCCCATTTTATCTTCACAGCAACCCTGTGAGGCAGAGGGGACTAATAACCCCCACAATGCCACACGCAGAGAACTTCATGGATGAGTGGAAACTGAGACCAGGGTTTTCCCCAGGTGTGTCTCTCCACACCGCACTGCCTCTCCACGTACTTGCTCGTCCATTTGCCTGTTGCTTTTAAAAAGGACAGGAGCTGGGTCACAGGGAAATGGTGGTGAATCCTTCTGGGCTGCCATAATGATCTCCACCAAACTATGTGTTTTCCTAGGGATGTGGGAACATGCTGTTTGCAAAAGGTTAAGAGGCACCTTAGAGAACACAAAGACCAGAAATGGTTTTGAAACTGTATGGTGCATGTTTATCCAGTATGTGGGACAATCTGTTAAGATGGAGAGTAGAAGACACCTAACTGATGTAATTTAATTCTAAACTATTTGCCAGCTTGCCTAATGTTTGACTGTATTATTTACATTAAATATGCATGGGGTGTTTCTTGGGAGAGGTATATGGGGATTGTTTGTTATATGCATTTTTGGAAACTGGAAAATAAAGGAGTTCTTTAAAATTTTTAAAAAGAGAGACGTGTATGGTGGGGAAGGGGCAGGGCCCACCCATAAGACAAGGAGAGGCAACTGCTTCAGGCGGCAGGATGCACAGATTCAGTAGATTCTTATGTACCGTAAATCTTGATTCCCCTCTTGTTTTTTGATGTAGGTCTTCACTTACCCCTTTTCCCCTGATAGTGGTGGGCATTATTTTGACATTCCCCTCACATGTCTTGTGTTGGCCCTG